ACATTAAAAACAAAAACGAGAACCAATACTGCCATGTCACTGTTTAAATACCACCACCATCAGACTCAAATCCTTTTTTCAGCCTATTTTTGTCTAGTCTTGTGAGAAACCCTGCTTTCCTGACATATACTTTACTAGAGTGCAATTCTATTTATTTCTGATTCACTATAATGTTACCAAGGTACTTTTTTTTTTCCATGTTGCCCAGCAGTGTTTCATTTCTTTTTTTTTTTTTTAACCACATTGACTTTCAATATTAATTATTTCTTCCCTGTCATGAAGTGGAAGCTGACTCTTTCCCCACTTCCAGAGTTTAGGCAGAAACTGCAAATGTGCCTTGCTGCCTTTCCAGCTGGGCTGGCCTAAAGTGACTTAGGTTGAACATGTCAACCAAGAGGCAAATGTTGTTTCAGAAATGAGAAAGGGAAGAAGCAGTTTGATCAAAATGGGTTCTAAATATGTTGCATTTGCCCAACTACAAATAAAAGCCCATTGAACCCGCTCTGAAGACTTGTCTGTTTTTCACAGCATTGATAATTATATTATTCATTAGACTATCTTTGTGTACTAAATCTTATATGGTTAAAGGTTCATTTGGATTTCAAATAGAAAACAGCAAATCGCATGCCACCTGCTCTGTGTATTATAGCATGAAGTCTCACAAGAATAGAAGGAAGTTGTCTCTGTTGATATACAGAGTTAGAAGGAGTATACTTCTATCCTTAGGCTGTGAAAAAGAATTACTGAAGGATTTGGCAGATTGTGTGTGTGTGTGTGTGTGTGTATACATATGTTTATATATACATATGTTTGTGTGTGTGTGTGTATATACACACACACACATATACATACTTTTCATTTAAAGGAATCATATTTGTATAGTATAAATTTTGATTTTCTTATAAGGAATATTTGTTTCCATAATGGATTATACTGTATCTTTGTCTCTCCCATGTACAATATGAAGCTAAAGAAATAAACTAGCTACAGTTAAGATGATAATTTGATTTTTGGCAACGAAAAGATATTTTCCATCTTTTTGTTTTATCATGTCTTGAATCCAGCTTTTCCTTCTATGATTTACTTAGTGAAGCAAATGTAAGCATTATTCTATACCAGTATTGTTACGTAATTATTAATACCACAAAGGCCGCTGGGCTATTTTATTTCTGGTTTTTATTTCCTATTGAGAGTTGCTCAAATTTTGGAGATTAATAAGGAAATCTATAAGAGGTTTTA